TAACATCTATCTGGCCAAAAGTATATAAAACATAAAATCTTTGTAGAAGTAATGGTGTCTCGTGTTGTGAATATTTTTATGTTTTTTTGTATTTATATTATTAATTTTAAATACATTTCCTTTTTATACAAGTTCATTCTTTAGAAAGTATTTTATGAAAAAATATTTAGTAAGAGAAGTAATTGCTTTTTAATTTGTTTAGTACAATTCTATTAATAGGAGCTTATGAGCACCCCAATTTGACTATTTTAAAAGGGAAAGAAGTCATGGAAGTGGTTTGAACGTTTCCTTATCTTTGTTAAGTTTAATTGTAGAGGAGAGAGGACTTGGCTTTCACAGTGGTTTAAAAAGAAAGGGAAAAAGAATATACAAGAATATATGGTGTCTATAGAATAAAGATAATCAAACCGCAGCTATGGTAATCGCTTTACAAAACAAACATCAAGTCAAAAATTGCAAGAAAATTAGATTTTTTAACTATAATAAAAACTATTAGGGTCGGCCGTGGGCCCCTAAATGGCGTGGCCCCCCCCCCCCCCCGCATTGCGGGGTCTGGCGGCACTGTAGTTCCGCCCCTGCTTGGTTCAACATTCTCCACTTTATTTCTCGGTCTCATGTCAGTAGGTAGTCATTGATTAGATCCTGCCGTTTGTAGGTCGTCATCAAGTCCATCGTACACTAGGACAAAAGTTCTCTGATTTTAAGCTCTTTAACATGTTATATGGACAATTTTTATCAGATAAAAATTAGGCCACAAGACAATATTAATAGGTATTATGTTCAATTGTTTTGTGTCAATGAAGGTAATCGCTATCTTTTAAAACACCGGCAACAGTTGGTCTATTAACTTGGAAGATTATCACGTGTTGATGTGAAACATCGCATCTAAAATATACAAATTTGGACATTACTCAATGTTTAAATCACACCTCCTTTAAATTAAAATTAAAAGCGGGAGTGATCTCCCCTAAAATTTCTCGATATAGGCTGCTTATATGGGGGATGGCAACTCGGGAAAAGACATGATTTTTAATAAAATTAATCACTTAAACTTTAAAAAATAGAATAGAATGTAGAAGAACAAAGAATTGCGCATCAAGTGAATTTTGATAAATCTGGATTTAGACTTGTTGCCCGATGAAGATAAGTCCCTTTTACTCCGTATACGATGAAGTGCTGAGGTGTAAAGCGGTGAATACTGTTAAAATTATCTAAAGGTTCGAATGGTCTCCCTGTAGTCACGTGAACTCCTCTATGACGTCATTGTATCTTGGTCCGGAATCCCTGACGTCAAACAAATCCGTTTGCTGGTAAACTGGTCCAGTACTTGCTGGACAAACTTGGACGTCTCGCGGAGCAAGTCGTGTTTAGAGATTCGCCCGTTTGTCAACGTTAGCGTGGGCCTGTCACAGCCGGGCTAGTCTTACCAGGACAGATGGACCTAATGTAACTGGACACATGGACCGAATGTAACTGGACACATGGACCGAATGTAACTGGACACATGGACCTAATGTAACTGGGCACATGGATCTAATGTAACTGGACACATGGACCTAATGTAGCAGGACACATGGACCTAATGTAACTGGACACATGGACCTAATGTAACTGGACACATGGACCTAATGTAACTGGACACATGGACCGAATGTAACTGGACACATGGACCTAATGTAGCTGGACACATGGACCTAATGTAACAGGACTCATGGACCTAATGTAACAGGACACATGCACCTAATGTAGCTGGACACATGGACCTAATGTAAGTGGACACATGGACCTAATGTAACTGGACACATGGACCTAATGTAGCTGGACACATGGACCTAATGTAGCTGGACACATGGACCTAATGTAACTGGACACATGGACCTAATGTAACTGGACACATGGACCTAATGTAGCAGGACACATGGACCTAATGTAACTGGGCACATGGACCTAATGTAAGTGGACACATGGACCTAATGTAAGTGGACACATGGACCTAATGTAACTGGACACATGGATCTAATGTAACTGGACACATGGACCTAATGCAAGTGGACACATGGACCTGATGTAAGTGGACACATGGACCTAATGTAAGTGGACACATGGACCTAATGTAACTGGACACATGGATCTAATGTAACTGGACACATGGACCTAATGTAAGTGGACACATGGACCTAATGTAAGTGGACACATGGACCTAATGTAACTGGACACATGGATCTAATGTAACTGGACACATGGACCTAATGTAAGTGGACACATGGACCTAATGTAACTGGACACATGGACCTAATGTAACTGGACACATGGACCTAATGTAGCTGGACACATGGACCTAATACTGGACACATGGACCAAATGTAACTGGACACATGGACCTAATGCAAGTGGACACATGGACCTGATGTAAGTGGACACATGGACCTAATGAAAGTGGACACATGGACCTAATGTAACTGGACACATGGACCTAATGTAGCTGGACACATGGACCTAATACTGGACACATGGACCAGCCCTAAATGGACACATGGACCTAATACTGGACACATGGCCCAGCCCTAACTAGACACACTGACCAACCTTAATTGGACACAGACCAAGCCTACACATAGGTGATCCCTACTCGGACCCAGGGTGTAACCTTTACCAACACCAAAAACTAGTACATTATTATCTCCTAGACCAAATTGTTAATGTGATAGCTAGCTACCAAAAACTAGTACATTATTATCTCCTAGACCAAATTGTTAATGTGATAGCTCAAAGCTAAGGCGTATCAAATATTGAACAAATTTCTTCTTTTTGAAACTTCAAAATCACATCAATTAAAATCAATTTCTGTTTTAAAAAGTGTAATAGAGATTTGATATTCAAAGTTCAGAAATCGATGTATTCATAAAACCTTTTTCTTATTGCTAAGCTAGTCATTTTGTAAGATGGACAATTTAATCTAACAATTATTTATAAAAAAATGTCAGTATATACTAGCTGACTCTGAATGTCAGTATAAACTAGCTGACTCTGAATGTCAGTATAAACTAGCTGACTCTGAATGTCAGTATAAACTAGCTGACTCTGAATGTCAGTATAAACTAGCTGACTCTGAATGTCAGTATAAACTAGCTGACTCTGAATGTCAGTAAAACTAGCTGACTCTGAATGTCAGTATAAACTAGCTGACTCTGAATGTCATTATAAACTAGCTGACTCTGAATGTCAGTATAAACTAGCTGACTCTGAATGTCAGTATAAACTAGCTGACTCTGAATGTCAGTAAAACTAGCTGACTCTGAATGTCAGTATAAACTAGCTGACTCTGAATGTCAGTATAAACTAGCTGACTCTGAATGTCAGTATAAACTAGCTGACTCTGAATGTCAGTATAAACTAGCTGACTCTGAATGTCAGTATAAACTAGCTGACTCTGAATGTCAGTATAAACTAGCTGACTCGGAATGTCAGTATAAACTAGCTGACTCTGAATGTCAGCATAAACTAGCTGACTCTGAATGTCAGTATAAACTAGCTGACTCTGAATGTCAGCATAAACTAGCTGACTGTGAATGTCACTATAAACTAGCAGACTCTGAATCAGAGTTTCTTCCAGGCATCTCTTCGGGGGGGGGGGGACGAAGTCCCCCCGAAAAATGTTTACTGCCCCCCCCCCCCCGAACGAAATGAAAATTATATAATTTATATAGAAAATATATACTTTTAACAGTGAAAGTCTACCGCCCCCCCCCCCCCCCCCCGAAAATTTCAAGTGCCCCCCCCCCCCGGAGAAAAAAAGTCTGGAAGAAACACTGCTCTGAATGTCAGTATAAACTAGCTGACTCTGAATGTCAGTATAAACTAGCTGACTCTGAATGTCAGTATAAACTAGCTGACTCTGAATGTCAGGTCAGGAAGGTTGTGTTTATCAACGCTGTTTGAGCCATTTGTGTGCCGGCCATTGTTACAAGGGAGGCAATTCACACAACAAATACAAAACTGCGCCCATTTTCTATCAATAACAAAACAAAGCGTTTGATTCAAATAATTCTTAAAAAAAAACCACACGACGAAACACCTGCTTTGTGATAGAGCATTAGCCATGTCCCTCCCCACGGTGAACTTAATAACACGGTAACACTGAGTTCTCGGCAGGCGGCCACATCAGGGGGGCGGGGGGGGGGGGGGGGGGGGGAGGTCCGTGAGTACGTTCAAGTTCCTACTCGAACAGATTAGGCTGTCTCTCTTCACAAATGTGTGGGTCCATTATTGTCAGGATTTCAATTAATCGCTGCGTGAAATAATTATATATATATATATATATATATATATATATATATATATATATATATATATATATATATATATATATATATATATATATGTATATATATATATATATATATATATATATATATATATATATATATATATATATATATATATATATATATATATATATATATATATATTATAAATATATAAATATATATATATATATATATATATATATATATATATATATATATATATATATATATATATATAAATATAAATTATATATATATATATATATATATATATATATATATATATATATATATATATATATATATATTTATATATATATATTTATATATATGTGTGTATTTATATAGGATAAACCCACATACCCTGACACATATATGATAGTTAACGGAGTTTATTTAAATCCACAGCCCTAGGGCTGAGGAATCCTATAGCATAAAGATTAGCCTAATTTCTTATTCGACCCCGCCCTCTTGCCCAGTTCAATTCGTGACTTTGTATTCAAATGTTCCAACATGCATGCGTGGTAATGTTGGTGAGGTCATCCATGGACTTAACCGTCCGTTGGTCACACACGATTGGCGCCTCATTATTCATGCATGTTACTTCAGGTGATTAGTTCAAGCCCGTGGTGTTGCATTAATGAGGAATGGGGTTTTATGAGGAATAGGGTTTTGATGAGGAGCGGGGTTTCATTAAGTCGCTGGTACAAAGAGTCTCTGTGGTGGGTTAAGAACAGTCTGGTTCTTATTGGCGACTTGATTCTGACGAAAATTGGCTGTGAAAATAAAGCCGATTTTATATTTAACACTTTCAGACATGCTCGTTGATTAAAAAAAAAAATTACGATGAAGTATAACCTACGCCTGCTAAGGGAATTCATGACTTGATGTCAGACCCCGACTTTCTTGCTGGTCTTTGTCCTCAGTTCTTGTCCATCCCCTGCTCTCTTGATTGCTGTCTATTAATTATTCTCATCACTGTTTCTTCCGGGCATCTCTTCGGCAGGACAGAGCCCCCCTCCCGCCCCAGCCCCCCGCGAAGAAAGTCTATCCCCCCCCTCCCCCCAGAACAAAATATAATTTATATAGAAGATATACACTTTTACAAGTGTCCACCCCGGAAATTTTAGTCCGCCCCCAAAAATTTCAAGTGCCCCCCCCCCCTCTTCCGGAGAAAAAAGTAAGAAAACTGGTGTCTGCCTGTCTATCCCTTGCTCTCATGAATACCTGTAGGGTGCCATTAACCCCGTAGTGTAGGACGCCATAGTGTAGGGCACCATTAAACCCGTAGTGTAGGGCAGTGGCGTAGGCAGGGGGGGGTTAGGGTGGGTCATAACCCTCTCCATAGACCCCTCGGTATATATATATAAAGTATGAGGGGGGTGCAAATCGAAAGTTTGAGGGGGGGGGGGTGCAAATCAAAAGTCTGAGGGGGGGGGGGGGTGTAAATCGAAAGTTCGTCCCCGGGTAAAAATTGGAACCCCCCCCCCCCCTTGAGACGATCCTGGCTACACCACTGGTGTAGGTTGCCATTAAACCCATAGTGTAGGGTGCCATTAAACCCGTAGTGTAGGGCGCCATTAAACCCGTAAAGCAGGGCGCCATTAAACCCGTAGTGTAGGGTGCCATTAAACCCGTAGTGTAGGGTGCCATAGTGTAGGGTGCCATTAAACCCGTAGTGTAGGGTGCCATTAAACCCGTAGTGTAGGGTGCCATAGTGTAGGGTGCCATTAAACCCGTAGTGTAGGGTGCCATTAAACCCGTAGTGTAGGGCGCCATTAAACCCGTAAAGCAGGGCGCCATTAAACCCGTAGTGTAGGGTGTCATTAAACCCGTAGTGTAGGGTGCCATTAAACCAGTAGTGTAGGGTGCCATAGTGTAGGGTGCCATTAAACCCGTAGTGTAGGGTGCCATTAAACCCGTAGTGTAGGGTGCCATAGTGTAGGGTGCCATTAAACCCGTAGTGTAGGGTGCCATTAAACCCGTAGTGTAGGGTGCCATAGTGTAGGGTGCCATTAAACCCGTAGTGTAGGGTGCCATTAAACCCGTAGTGTAGGGCGCCATTAAACCCGTAAAGCAGGGCGCCATTAAACCCGTAGTGTAGGGTGTCATTAAACCCGTAGTGTAGGGTGCCATTAAACCAGTAGTGTAGGGTGCCATAGTGTAGGGTGTCATAGTGTAGGGTGCCATCTAACCCGTAGTGTAGGGTGCCATTAAACCCGTAGTGTAGGGTGCCATAGTGTAGGGTGCCATAGTGTAGGGTGCCATAGTGTAGGGTGCCATAGTGTAGGGTGCCATTAAACCCGTAGTGTAGGGTGCCATAGTGTAGGGTGTCATTAAACCCGTAATGTAGGGTGCCATAGTGTAGGGTGCCATTAAACCAGTAGTATAGGGTGCCATAGTGTAGGGTGCCACTAAACCCGTAGTGTAGGGTGCCATTAAACCCGTAGTGTAGGGCGCCATTAAACCCATAGTGTAGGGTGCCATTAAACCCGTAGTGTAGGGTGCCATAGTGTAGGGTGCCATTAAACCCGTAGTGTAGGGTGCCATAGTGTAGGGTGCCATAGTGTAGGGTGTCATTAAACCAGCAGTGTAGGGCGCCACTAAACCCGTAATGAAGAGTGCCAGAAAACCAAACAACTCAGACGGTACCAGACAAACATGACAATCTCGTCCATCCCGGGCAGGTAGTACCACGGACTTAGGGCCTACGTGTTTGATTTAATAGCCCCATAAACCTGGCTCGGACTAGGTAGACAAATATTGGAACAGTGGCGTAAACATACCCTCTTGTCGGCGCTTGAACTAACATTAAGCAACAGCACTTTAGTTTTAAAGAAAAGGGCCTTAACTCTGATAGGACATTTCGTATTTTGTACCGGACAGGACAACATTTGTTTCTGTATGTAAATTCTAGTGAGAGGGTGGAAATTCCGAAACAGCTAAAACAGCGCATGAACACGAAAACAAGTTTTAAACCGGGAATTCCCAGCGTAGGAAGGATAACTCTATTCTACAACAATGTTATGTACGTATCATGTTTTTTGTGGGCGCATGGCCTCCCTTGTCTTTTGGGAACTTCTGTACGTCTTATCTTCCCCTGATTTGTAACCTGCGCAGATCGCAATTTTGGTAAATGTTTACTAAAAGACGTATTTGTAGGAAGTTTTCAGTAATGATCAATTTTTAAAAAAAACGACATCTTATCAATTATCTTTTTAATCATAATATAGCAATTGTTAGGTTGTATTTGAGTTTTAAAAGTGTATATAACATGATCCACTTTTTAACTTTATAATTTTTCAAACTATTATTTTTGTTCACACAAATAAACAAACAAACAAGCAGATAAAAAAGGTCTAGTAGTATTTGTTGGTCGAAATAACAATGGGATTTTTAAAAAGGATTTATATATATATATATATATATATATATATATATATATATATATATATATATATATACATATATACATATATGCATATATACATATACACGCAAACAGCAAATGGGTATGGGAGTAAATAAGTAAATAAGGTGGTGGGGGGGGGGGTCACCCCGTATAGAGCCCTGCTGCCATGTCGCCTAACACCTCAGTGCTAATCCCAGCCACATAATGAAAGCAATGTAAGCGTCTTGTGCCTTTTCTCGCTGGCAGAAATCGTGTGGCAGCAACAAGATACCCTGCTCGTCTGTGGCAGACATTTTTTTTTACATGAGGATCTATCCCACTTCATCTAGACAATTTTTTACACGACTATCTATCCCACTTCATCTAGACATTTTTACACGACTATCTATCCCACTTCATCTAGACATTTTTACACGACTATCTATCCCACTTCATCTAGACATTTTTTACACGACTATCTATCCCACTTCATCTAGACATTTTTTACACGACTATCTATCCCACTTCATCTAGACATTTTTACACGACTATCTATCCCACTTCATCTAGACATTTTTTACACGACTATCTATCCCACTTCATCTAGACATTTTTACACGACTATCTATCCCACTTCATCTAGACATTTTTTACACGACTATCTATCCCACTTCATCTAGACATTTTTACACGACTATCTATCCCACTTCATCTAGACATTTTTTACACGACTATCTATCCCACTTCATCTAGACATTTTTACACGACTATCTATCCCACTTCATCTAGACATTTTTACACGACTATCTATCCCACTTCATCTAAACATTTTTACACGACTATCTATCCCACTTCATCTAGACATTTTTACACGACTATCTATCCCACTTCATCTAGACAATTTTTTACACGAATATCTGTCCCACTTCATCTAGACATTTTTACACGACTATCTATCCCACTTCCCCTAGACATTTTTACACGACTATCTATCCCATTTCATCTAGACATTTTTACACGACTATCTATCCCACTTCATCTAGACATTTTTACACGACTATCTATCCCACTTCATCTAGACATTTTTTACACGACTATCTATCCCATTTCATCTAGACATTTTTACACGACTATCTATCCCACTTCATCTAGACATTTTTACACGACTATCTATCCCACTTCCCCTAGACATTTTTACACGACTATCTATCCCACTTCATCTAGACAATTTTTTACACGAATATCTGTCCCACTTCATCTAGACATTTTTTACACGACTATCTATCCCACTTCATCTAGACATTTTTACACGACTATCTATCCAACTTCATCTAGACATTTTTACACGACTATCTATCCCACTTCATCTACACATTTTTACACGACTATCTATCCAACTTCCACTAGACATTTTTACACGACTATCTATCCCACTTCATCTAGACAATTTTTTACACGAATATCTGTCCCACTTCATCTAGACATTTTTTACACGACTATCTATCCCACTTCATCTAGACATTTTTACTCGACTATCTATCACACTTCATCTAGACTTTTTAACACGACTATCTATCCCACTTCATCTAGACATTTTTACACGACTATCTATCCCACTTCATCTAGGCATTTTTTTATACGACCATCTATCCCACTTCATCTAGACATTATTACACGACTATCTATCCCACTTCATCTAGACATTTTTACACGACTATCTATCCCACTTCATCTAGACATTTTTACACGACTATCTATCCCACTTCATCTAGACATTTTTACACGACTATCTATCCCACTTCATCTAGACATTTTTACACGACTATCTATCCCACTTCATCTAGACATTTTTACACGACTATCTATCCCACTTCATCTAGACATTTTTACACGACTATCTATCCCACTTCATCTAGACAATTTTTTACACGAATATCTGTCCCACTTCATCTAGACATTTTTTACACGACTATCTATCCCACTTCATCTAGACATTTTTACACGACTATCTATCCCACTTCATCTAGACTTTTTTACACGACTATCTATCCCACTTCATCTAGACATTTTTACACGACTATCTATCCCACTTCATCTAGACATTTTTACACGACTATCTATCCCACTTCATCTAGGCATTTTTTTATACGACCATCTATCCCACTTCATCTAGACATTATTACACGACTATCTATCCCACTTCATCTAGACATTTTTACACGACTATCTATCCCACTTCATCTAGACATTTTTACACGACTATCTATCCCACTTCATCTAGACATTTTTACACGACTATCTATCCCACTTCATCTAGACATTTTTACACGACTATCTATCCCACTACATCTAGACATTTTTACACGACTATCTATCCCACTTCATCTAGACATTTTTACACGACTATCTATCCCACTTCATCTAGACATTTTTACACGACTATCTATCCCACTTCATCTAGACATTTTTACACGACTATCTATCCCACTTCATCTAGACAATTTTTTACACGAATATCTGTCCCACTTCATCTAGACATTTTTTACACGACTATCTATCCCACTTCATCTAGACATTTTTACACGACTATCTATCCCACTTCATCTAGACATTTTTACACGACTATCTATCCCACTTCATCTAGACATTTTTTACACGACTATCTATCCCACTTCATCTAGACATTTTTACACGACTATCTATCCCACTTCATCTAGACAATTTTTTACACGAATATCTGTCCCACTTCATCTAGACATTTTTTACACGACTATCTATCCCACTTCATCTAGACATTTTTACACGACTATCTATCCCACTTCATCTAGACATTTTTACACGACTATCTATCCCACTTCATCTAGACATTTTTACACGACTATCTATCCCACTTCATCTAGACATTTTTACACGACTATCTATCCCACTTCATCTAGACATTTTTACACGACTATCTATCCCACTTCATCTAGACATTTTTACACGACTATCTATCCCACTTCATCTAGACATTTTTACACGACTATCTATCCCACTTCATCTAGACATTTTTACACGACTATCTATCCCACTTCATCTAGACATTTTTACACGACTATCTATCCCACTTCATCTAGACAATTTTTTACACGAATATCTGTCCCACTTCATCTAGACATTTTTTACACGACTATCTATCCCACTTCATCTAGACAATTTTTTACACGAATATCTGTCCCACTTCATCTAGACATTTTTTACACGACTATCTATCCCACTTCATCTAGACATTTTTACACGACTATCTATCCCACTTCATCTAGACATTTTTACACGACTATCTATCCCACTTCATCTAGACATTTTTTTTACAGGAGTATTTACCCGACAATTAAATCTAACATGACAGGCCCAACACTTCAGCCGTGGGTTACCTTTAGTATTCGAAATAAATGAGACATGATAATTTTAATCGATTGGCCGTATTCACGTATATGTATAGTGGTAATCGATACTTGAGCCCTAAACATGACATGAACACTAGCTCAATCCCCTGAACTTATTAGTCTAGACAGGGCCGGACTTCTTCATATCATTATAATTGTATGCAATTGGTTAAGGCTTATTGTAAGTTATAGTTGCACTTTTTGCAGCTTTTATGATAATATTTAAAACTTGTTTGCTGCTTTGTTTTGATTGAAATATATTGCTAGTTGTATGCGTTAAATGGTTTATGTGACGGGCATATAGCAGAAAACACGCCACATAATACAGACAGAAATAGGTACCATAGTCTCCCCGTAGCGTAGACTTCAAGCAAATGTACACGATATAACAACATGGCGATATATTGCTGATTCCATGAGGTCGGCGTGAGTGGGTAGAGAATCATAAACTCACTAAACACACAGCCACATACACATTGTCATTACTCACTACACACAACCACATACACATTGTCATAACTCACCACATACAACCACATACACATTGTCATAACTCACCACACACAACCACATACACATTGTCATAACTCACCACACACAACCACATACACATTGTCATAACTCACCACACACAACCACATACACATTGTCATAACTCACTACACACAACCACATAATCAATAACTCACTACACACAACCACTTACACATTGTCATAACTCACTACACACAACCACATACACATTGTCATAACTCACCACATACAACCACATAAACATTGTCATAAC